GTTCCAACATTAATTTCACAAGCAACAATTTGACATTATTTAAGGCAATCAACAACAATTGGAAATTGCAACGATCGTTTGACACGAACAACAACTTAAAATTATGACAATAATTTAAGAGGAACTTAGTGTGAGTAATACTATAATTTTCTGCTTCACAATTTTCAAGCCAAACGTAGAGAAAAATTTGAAATAAAATTACAAAGAACTTTGCAATAATTCGCATCAAATAAAATATAATTTTTTAATATACTTTTTCTTTAAATATGTAAAATAATTTCCTAATCACTCAAATTAAATTGACGATAATGTTCTTATCTATTTTTCTTATGAATGGATAAAACAATTTCCTAATATATCTTTTATATATTTAATTAATCTAATTAATCTATTAATAATCTTCTAATTACTTAAATAAAATTGAAAATTATTTTCTAGTTATCTAATTAAAATGAATGGGAATTTTGATATGATCAAAAAGTGATGGTACTTTTTTTCAAGGAAATATTAGTTATTAAAACTGGATTACGTGTCCGTCTGTGGGTATCAGGCATATCAAATATCAATCCCGCGTTGGAAATTAAAGGCTTATTTCGTGGCTTCGATCTCCACATTCCGTCTGCAGCGTATTGCTCGTTCCACATCTCTCCTGGTTGTGTCCCTACAATCCCAGGTAATCGGTTATGGTGCAATACTTCTTTCTGTCCTAGTCCTTGGATCACGTTTTCCTTTACCATCGCTCGATGCATCTGATCCTTCCGCCATTTTACATTCAGCATACTGATCTGCATCATTTGTCGTAATTAATAGGGAATATTGTTAACCGTATATTTTCAAGATCCCAATAATCATAGAGTATTTTTTATTCATTCTAATAATATTTGTATACAGGGTGTTGCACGTGATCGTCGCCACGATTTTTCAGGCATTTACAACAGTCTGACAAAAGAAAATGTTCCGAACGAAAGTTAACCAGTTTTTGCTCAGCTATAGATTGCAGTATAAGAAATTTAAACAAAAAATATTTTGCTCCAAAAAATAAAAGTCATCTTAATTTTTCTTTAAATTGCATGGTATATTTTTTATTTTATATCATAGTAGCTCGTGTCAACACGAATTCAATGACCCGTTATACCATGACCTTCTTATGTCCTTGACGTAAAGAAATTACATATGTTTTAAATGTTGTTCGTTTACGTAAATCGATGAATGCTATTGGCAAGACTCAAAATAGTTCAAAAATTGTGATCGTTTCTCAAAGATTCTGATGTACCTGGATTTGAATATTGCTTTCTGAACATTGCTTTTTGAGTTTTCAAAAAGTCGATTTTGACAACTAACGTAACTGCTACAGGAATAAACTTTATACGAAATAATACTGCAGAAAACTTTTTAAAAATATAATAGTATATATTTTAATAACATTGCAATTATTCACGTTTGTTCGAACAATTTGTTTAATATCCGGTTCAATTTTTATTTCTATCAATTAATATCATTGTTTACTGTTTGATGCTTAATGTTAGCATCATTTTAAGACGATTATAAGTGCCGAAGATCTTCGAACATTCCGACAGTAATTTTATTCCTCTTCAAAAAGAAAATATCGTAAATTCGACAAGTTACAGTGCCTCTACTGAAAATCTTGAAGTCGATTATTCAAGTTTTACTATTTCCTACAAGACAGGATTTTTAATTGCTGCTAACATTGCGGGGTACTTGAACAGTAGTTGCAACAACGCACGCATGAGTCGTGGTATCGAATTAGCATAAAGGCCGTCCGGATGTGGGCGCGAGGTATCTTGTTCGTGTTTATCGATGAAGGCATGTAATCTTCGATAATCGATAGAGATAAGATCGAAATCGCAGCGGTGAAGTGGCTTACTACGCAGAAATTACTGTTGTTAGGCGTCCAGGAAATCGATCGTGTTTCACAGGAAGAAAGAATTTCCTCGTTCCGCGCCCCTAACGTGGCGTCGATCTATCATTCGCGATTTGCACTGATTTCTGACAGGCAATCTCGCCAAGAAAATATATTTCATCTTTTAAACGCTCTAGTTTGTCCAAAATGATACTGTGCGGCAGTAGAAGATAAATAGCAGAATACGGTAAATTCTCCCTAATTGACGCTCAGCTTGGACACAAAAATGGACAATTTCGGAAGAGAAAATACGATTGTTCGAGCCTTGCGGCTTTTTTTTATAATTACCGATTCTCAACGACTATAAAAACAAGCCGCAAGGCTCGATTAATCGTACTTCCTCTTCCCAAATTGTCCATTCTTGTTTACAGAGCGTCAATAACGGAGAATTTACGGTATCAATAACAAAGTAGATCGCAGCAATATAAAAAAGTATATAGCATGAGATGTAAAGTAGTGTCATAAAGTGGTAAAATATTAAAGTAGCGAAACAGCAGTGTAGCAAATAATAAAGGAGGTGAGACGAAATAGCAAAGCAGCAAGGTAAATCAAATATTAAAGTAACAGAGTGATCGAATAAAGTAACAAAGTGATCGGACGTCAAGGTAGCAAAGTTATGAACTGATACAATAGCAAATTATTATAGCAGTAAAGTAGCGTTGAGAAGTAACGAGATATGAGTGCAGCAAAATAACGAAGTGGCAACGCAGCAACGTAACAGGATGCTAAAATTAATAAAACGGCAAGCGGGAAGGTGACAAAGTGGCAAGGAGGGGAGCAACAAGGTAAAAATAGTAGAAACGGTAAAGTAGCAATAATAACAAACAGTAAAATTCTAAAATAATACAGCAGCAAGTGGCAAAGCGACAAAATAGCAAGGAGTGAAGCAACAAGGTAAAAAAGTAGAAATGGTGAAGTAGAAAAATAATATTGCAGAAATTGCAAAATAACAAAGTAGCATCGTAGCGACAGAATGAAGTAGTATCGCAGCAATATAATAAAGTAGCAGCGTAGCTGTATATCAACGTGGTAATATATTAAAGTAGCGAAACAGCAGTGTAGAAAATAATAAAAAAGGTGAGACAAAAAATACCAAAGTAACAAGGCAATGAAATATTGAGTCAACAAAGTAATCGAATAAAGGAACAAAGTGATCGAACGTCAAGGTAGCAAAGTAATGAACTAGCAAAATAGCAAATTATCATAGCAGTAAAGTAGCGTTACAATATAGCGAGATACGAATGCAGCAAAATGATGGAGTGGCAACGTAGCAAAGTAATGAGGTGGTAAAATAACAAATCGGCAAGCGGGAAAGTGATAAAGTGGCAAGGAGTGAAGCAACAAGGTAAAAATAGTTGAAACGGTGTATAATTAGTGGCGTATAATAAGTAATATAATAAGCATATAATATAAGCATATAATGAGTAACAATAAGCAGCGAAATTGCAAAATAACAAAGCAACAAGTGGCGAAGCGACAAAGTGGCAAGGAATGAAGTAACAAGGTAGAACAAGTAGAAATGATAAAGTAGAAAATAATATTGCAAAATAACAAAGCAACAAGTGGCGAAGCGACAAAGTGGCAAGGAATGAAGTAACAAGGTAGAACAAGTAGAAATGATAAAGTAGAAAATAATATTGCAAAATAACAAAGCAACAAGTGGCGAAGCGACAAAGTCGCAAGGAATGAAGTAACAAGGCAAAACAAGTAGAAATGATAAAGTAGAAAAATAATATTGCAAAAATAAAATCGCGAAATAACAAAGTAGCAAGTGGCAACGATGAAAGTAGCAAATGGGAAAAAATTGGATGTAACAAGATGTAGAAAGGATCAAAGCATCGGAGTAGCAAAATAATAGAATAGAATAGCAAAAAGATAAGAAAGTACTGAAATAGTAAATATAACACTGACAATATTCTTAAGTAAATTCTTTCAATGTCTCCAAAGTTTTGCACTGCACTTGTTAATTTTTGTCAGAAATGCAAAATGAACTTTTCAAGATTAACAAAATCTCCTAACAGCATTCTATGAAATACTTAATCAGAGGTGAAATGAAATAGAAAGATTGAATCTAAAATAAAATTCACTTAAACAATTGATATCTACTTCTACGAGCAACCCTGCCGAGAAAGAATAAAAATAAGATTCATACGCCGTTCTATGGAAAAATTTTGATCATTAGTAAATAAATTAAATTACAGGCGTATAAATAAATTTTACCTCTTTTGGCAAATCGAGGTCATCGTCTGAAGAATTTGTAGTTGTTTTCCTCGTCAGAAGATAATTTGCTGCATCCATATTGTACTCCTTTCTCGAAACTATGAATCTATCTGCTGCGGAGACCGATTTCGGGAACGATGCAGGAAACTTTTTGGTGTTACCAACGTATTTTAACGTTGGTGACCGGGAGTTGACGATCGTACAAGTCGTATAATCGTCCTGAAACAAGAGACACAAAAATTCTCGCAATTAGTTTCAATTTCCAAAATCTGATAGAAAATACGAAATCTTGAGTACACGAGAAAAACATTTGTCAAAATAATATGATATCATAAAGAAATTGTTTCAAAATAATTTAGTAATTATTAATATTAATAATAGTAATATAATATAATAATATAATATATATATATATTATATTATATTACTATTTTTTAATAATATAATAATATAATATATATATATATATATATATATATATATATATTATATTACTATTCTTTAATAATATAATATATATTATATTATATTACTATTCTTTAATAATATAATAATATAATATATTATATTATTATATTATTTATATATTTGATAACGTAAATAATTTCTACATTATTTCGTTAATGGGAATTATTTTGAAACAACTTCAACATTAATTTTTTATTTGATCGAAAACTTTTATTTGCCGAAATGAAATCCCTTATACTTTATTTTTACGATGCTAACATTTTCAATATTTTAGCTTCCTACAATGCATTAGAGTGACAGATTTACCTCAATATGAACGTTTTCTGACGTATCCGTTTTCAAGCAAGAATATTTTTCGATTAAAGAGTTTTCGATTCAATTGGACCCATATTGTAATTAACAATATTAACACTGCAATTACGAAGCCTAAACGCATATTGTTTTATAGCAATGACAAGAATCGATTTACTTAAACTTGATACGATATGTGTGATGACTAGACTGCAAATTTGGTACATGTATAACAAAAATGGATGGGTGAAAGTGAAAACAGTGAAAACATTCAAAGCAATTAAGAATGACGGTCTACTAATTTCTGCTTATTAAAATTGTTAAAAAAAGAAAGAAAATTATACTTGACTCATTTGTCTCGAAATCGATGCGAACAAATTTTACTTTACATGAAGATCTACAGTCTGGTGATAACATATATTCAAATAGAACAGTTTGCCTGAAAACTTCTTATAGAAATATTCTCATAATATCAGTAATTGTAAAAGCAACAATCAGAAAGCAGTCATTTTTTGGATAGCAGAAATTGCACAAATAAATTTCACTAAAACCTCCAATTTGATAAAATCAATTCAAGGAAAATCTTTCTGCTTAGATGACCCTAATAAATAATATCTAATAATATTTAACTAGAAAATAATATCTAATAATATTTAACTAGTAAATAATATCTAATAATATTTAACTAATAAATAATAGCTAATAATAGCTAATAATTAGATATTTACTAATTAGGACTAGTAAATATCTAATAATATTTAACTAATAAATAATAGCTAATAATATCTGACTAGCAAATAATATCTAATGATATTTAACTAACACCTATAAATAACTTATTTCATATAACATTAATTATGCTTTAAACAAAGATGAATTAATAGAAACAACGCACTCGGAATGGATAAATTTTTCAGGGTAATAATGACGAAACTAATGAAACAGTTGTAATAAATAAATAAATAAATAAATAAACAAATAAACGGCAATCCGTTCGACTTAATTGTAAATCGAGTATTATAGCGAAGAGGAAACTCGTATTTATCGCCGGCGAAGCCGTTGACATGAGCTCGTTGACAGTCTAGTGTACACTGGAGCGATTTTTCGGCCTAGGTAGAACCGTTCAGCAGAGGCGGAATCGGCTTGTCGGCGTCTTTGATATTCAGATCGGCGATTTCTGGTTTGCGTGCGCGGTTGCATCCGCGCCGGTGCAACACAACACGTCGATGCGCATGCAGCGCGTTTGACGTCCCGGAGCGAGGAGTACAACGCGCGGCTGGGACTCGTTTTGTGCCATTAATTTGTTCCTCCGGTATATGCGCGACTGAATTATTCATAAATATTCAACGACCGCTTTCTGTCAGCGGGATCAAAGCGACCTTGTCGCGGACGGTGTATTCGAATTGTGGGAAAATCGAGGCCTTTGCGAATCTGGTCCGAGCACGCGGTCCGCGACAATATTACGATATGATACCGTTTACCAATGTACGAGCCGTTTATTTTGAAAGCGGCTTAAGTCCATTTTCGAAAAACGTCGAGTTAGCTATTTTAACCCTTTGCACTCGAATGGCGACTCTGAGGCGCCACTAAAAATTGGTATACTATTTTTCAAAATCATTCTAAGAGCATCAGACTCTTTTATACTTAAAAAGACTATTAAAATTGCATTGTACTTGCCAATAGGCTAAATTTCATACGCATGAATCGCAATAAATTATATAAAATAGAAATACTGTAGATCAGAAATCATGTTTTGGATTTCGAATTCAAATAGCTTCGACTGCAAAGGGTTAATATTGTGTCTGGGAAAAAGTTCGTGGCGATAGATATCATCAATTGTTAATAACTCAAGAACAACTTATTGCAACAATACCATTAAACGCTTCATTTAAAGGTAACACATTGAACGTTGTTTTGGGCGTATAAACGTCGTGGTGGTGCAGTACTTGGAAAGTTGTTGGCGTTTGATAATGGAGAGAAATAATGAGAAATTTTGCTATGTTTTACGATATTATTACGACAAAGGGAAGGACGCTGCGCAGGCTTGTGAAAAAATTTGTGCTGTGTACGGTGAAGGTACATTATGAACATCAGCTGCGCGGAAATGGTTCGCTCACATTTTAATGTGAAAGACGAGTCATGCTCTGGTCGTCCAGTTACTGAAAAAACTAATGAAATTGTTGAAAAAGTCCAGCGAGATAAGCATATTAGCAGTGTCGATATTGGTATGGAACTAGGCATTGATCACAAAAGTGTTTTGAACCATTTACACAAAGATGGATACAAACAGAAGCTGTTTGTTTGGGTTCCTCATGAGTTGAGCGCGGAAAACATGATGAATCGAATCAACATCCGTGATGCGCTGCTCAAAGGTAATGAAATCGTGCCATTTCTGAAATGTGTCATAATCGGTGATGAAAAATGGATCACGTACGACAATCGGAAACGCCAAATATCGTGAACAAAAGATGGTGAGTCGTCACAAGCGTTCGCGAAGCTAGAGAATTGACGCTAAAAAAGGTGATGCTGTGTGTGTGGTGGGACTGGAAGGGAATCGTTCACCATGAGGTACTTCCAGTTGGTCAGACGATTAATTCTCAACTCCACTGTGAACAACTGGAGAGATTACGCCACGCAATTGAAAAAAAAACGGCCCGAATTGCATAATAGGAAAAGTGTTGTCTTTCATCGCGACAACGCCCGACCACACATTTCTTTGACGACCCGTAAAAAATTGCGAGAGTTTAGTTGGGAAATTTTGATGCACCCACCGTATAGTCCAGACATAGCACCCTCTGACTATCACTTGTTCCGATCTCTGCAGAACTCTCTCAATGGAATTAAACTGGCTTCAAAAGAAGCCTGTGAAAACCACTTGATTCAGTTTTTTAACCAGAAACCGCAGAAGTTCTTCACCGATGGCATCATGATTCTACCCGAAAAATGGCGAAACATTGTCGATAATAATGGAACATATTTGGTTGAAATAAATTCATTTTCAGAATATAAGAAATCCAGTTGAATTTTACTAACAAAACGCCACGAACTTTTTCCCAGACCTAATATTTATGTTTCTACGTTATATGTATATATAATTTCATTTCAGCAAAGCCTCTAGAATCACAAAAACATTATAGTACCATGTCATCGATTACGAATATTTTTAAATTTATTGAAACGGAAAATCATTAAATATCTGAGTTTTAAAATAAATAAATAATTCAAAATAAGCGGCTCATGTAGTAGTGCGAATAATTATAGACTCAAAGTAACTTTTAGATTTTTTTGGGATATTTAAACAAAAACTTCATAAAACATCTAATTTGTATATTTCTATATTAAAAGTAATATACTATAGTAGAGTATACATATATTAATATGGTTTCTTT